CGACCCTCCGGGGGGAGAAGCGGCAGGATGGAGGGAGGGAGGGGCGGCACGCGGCTCGGGGCCGCTCGCGGACCGGGACCCCCGCGCCCCCCGCCCCGGGCCGCACTCACTTGAAGAAGTCCTCCTTGCAGTACACGCCGTCGCCCCGGCTGAAGCACTTCTCGGCCAGCGGCGCCTGGCAGTCGCTGCATTTCAGGCACTTGCTGTGCCAGTGCCGGTCCAGCACCTTCAGGATGAAGCGGTCCACGATGTGCTGGTTGCAGCCGGCGCACAGCGGGATCTCTGCGGGGCACAGGCGGGTCAGCGCGGGGATGCGCACTGTCGGGGTGGCCCTCCCTCCCTCCCTCCCTCCCCGCTGCGCTTGTGACTCGTGCTGTGCGCTGGGACCGCTGCCGCTGCCGCTGTCCTGCCGGCCACTCGGACTAGTCTTCTTCCACAATGACTGTCACCACCGCCAGCCTCGTCTCGCTAGTCTAGCGTTATGACGATTGTTATGGCTGTTATGACTACTATTATGACCATTGCTATGACTGTTAGTACGGCTCTTATTACTACTATCGTTGTGACTGTTATTACTAGAGTTATAACTATTATTGCTATAGCTATTATTGCTATCGTTATAACTTATTATGGCTATTATGACTATCGCTGTGACTATTATTACTATAGTTATAACTATGATTAGGTTGTGGCTATTATTGCTATAGCTACTGTTATTACTATCGTTATAACTATTATTATGGCTATTATTGCTGTCGTTATACCTATTACTATAGCTATCGCTGCGGCTATTATTACTACTGTGATAACTATTGCTATGGCTATTCTTACTATTATTAATTCTACTGTTAAGGCTATTATTACTACTATTATTACATCGTTGTGACTAGTGTTACTATTATCGCTATTGTTCTGGCTGTGGCTATGGCTATGATTACTATTATTAATACTATTGTTATAGATTCATAGGTTGTGAGGCCGGAAGGGACCTGGGAAGATGGTCGGGTCCGGCCCCCTGCACCAAGCTCTTCTTACTATTATTATTTCTAGTGTGACTATTATTACGGCTATGATCACTCTGGTTGCGACTCTAACGACTATTGTTATGGCTGTTATTACTATTATGAGGATGGCTCTTATTGCTATTAAGACTATCGTTGCTGTAGTTGTTATTATGATGACCACTGCTGTTATCACTGTTATTATTGCTACTGCTTGTTTGGGGTTATCACTATGATCATTAGCGATAATAGTAACGATAGTCACAACGATAGTAATAATAGCCACAATAATAATCATAATCATAATAGCCCTATCACTATTATTGCTGCTGCTACTAATATTCTTCCCGCTGCTGCTGCGGTTATGGCTCTTGCTACTGCTGGTTTTACTCTTCCTGTTATTTACCCGCTCCTACGAACCACGTGCAAAAAAGAGACCTGTGCTGGCAGGGACGGGCGCCTGCCCCGTCGGCTCCCGGCCCGGCCCGGCACCGCTCAGCCCAGCCGGGGAAGCGGGGCGGGGGTCGCTCCTGAACGCGGACGGGCAGGGCGAGGGGAGACCTT